TGAAAAAAGTTGTATGTTAGCCAAGAAGAGTATCGGAAGGAAATTAGAAAAAAACTTTGGTATAACTGGGGTCTAGCATTAGGGAAAATATTAGGAGAGAAGTAAAAAGAAAAAAGATTTTTATAGGAATGCATTAAAGCCTGAGTAGATCTATAACCCCTATGAAAAAAAAAAAACGTAGATAGTATTTTTTGGACAAATTTCAAGGAAAAAGCTGACTGATGTTTGTGGGCCCGGCTTAGCCTTGGTTACAATATTCGGCAGTTTGGGAGACACCAGATGATTATCAAACTAAATGTAAATTATGTGATCAGGCATATGGTCACTCTCTGAAAACTATGTGCTTAAATTTTTCCACTTTTGAGGAATCAGAGACGAAGATAATAACCTTTGACATTCAAGATATCTTATTAAAGAAAAAAATACCAGAACTAAGCAAAATTTCCTAAATTTTCTTGTAACAGATAATGAACTATAATATGTAGATATAAAACCATATGTATTCCTGTTAACCCTTTGGGGCCTAGTTCCTAGGCCTTTTGTGTACCATATGCTCTCGCGCTACCGTCCACAGGGTATATGGGGTGCCAATAAACTAGCCACTTCGGTGGCAAAATCCCAAAATTTTTAAAAACTTCAAGACGCAATTATATACTTTTGGGGCACAAAAATAATCCCCATCTTTTTTTGTGGTGGGGTTTTTGGTGCGGGTTAAAACCCCCTCAATGCTTTCTGAACTCGGGCGCAGGTTTTTAAAACCCTATTTTTTTTATGTCGGTTTGTTTACATCCAAAATAAAATGTTTAAACTTTTAACAGAAAAAGATAGTTTTCTTCTACAAATTTGAGGTTAAACAGAAAACGGGATATCATATTTCTGAATACCTCCAAAAATACTCCAACAACAGCTCTTGGAGAACCAGGTTTAAGATCTCAAAAATTGGGGACAAAGGAAATTTTAATTAAACAATTTCTATGGATCCCATCACACAAAGGGTTCTCCTTCAGGGTAAAGTTAATGTTAGCCCAAAAAAGTACCCAGAAAGGAGAATGTAGAATATAACTTTGGTATAAAATGTGTCTAGCTTAGGAAAATATTTGGAGGAAAAGTAAATAATGAAAATGATTTTTATAGGGAAAGCCTGGGGTTTTATAACCCACTATGAAAATGAACAATAAGTATGTTAAGGGAGCAACGTGCAATGTGAACGACGACGATGTTTAGTGGCCAGGCTTTTGGTTTTGGTTACAAATACTTTTGGGGATTTTTTGGGGACACACGATATGATCAAACAAAAGTAAATTTAGTGACAGGCATAGGCACTCTCTTAGCACTTGGCTTAATTGTCCACTTATTTGGGGAAAAAAGAGACAGACATTTTTTTTATTATTATTATTTAAAATTAGCCGTATTCCCCGGCCCGGGCCTTTTTCCAATGGTGGCCCGGCCTTGGCTCCCTCTTTAGGGAGTGTCTGAGATCTAAATCTCCCATGGGAGGAGGCACAAGTACCTCCTCATCTTTGGGACCAACTGTCCCCAGGCCTAGCCACAATAGGCCTCTCTGGGTTTCCCTTTCCCCGCCCCAAGGGGGCAAAAAGGGAATGACGTTTATGAGCTAAAAGGGTCGGGTTCAGGCACCTACCCTACCCTAGAAGGGTTAGGCATGGTGTCGATGAGAGACAGACAGTATAATAACCTATGTGACATGTCAAGATATCTTATTAATGAAAATAAGATACCAGATATACTAAGCAAATATCCTAAATTTGCTTGTAACAGATAAGTGAACTATAGACAAGTAGACATAAATCCATATGTATTCCTGTTAACCCTTTGGGGCCTAGTTCCTAGGCCTTTTGTGTATCCATATGCTCTCGCGCTACCGTCCACAGGATGGATATGGGGTGCACAATAAACTAGCCACTTCGGTGACAAAATCTAAATCTAAAAAATCTAGAATACCTGATAGTTGATAAAGGGCATTGCTTATATCAGAGATGGATTACCATGGAATTGATGGATCGTGAGTTTTTGTCAGGCTGTACATTCAGGTAGGTCTGGGGTTACTGGGAATGGTCAGTAGAAGTTTCTACAATTGTTGCAAGTACTCTAAAATGTGGCGAGTCTTGCGTAGAAGAGTTTTAGTTAGGTTAAATAAGTTTATTCAGGTACCTGTAAATACAGTTAAATACATTTTCATAGATAGCAGCAGGTAAACTCCAGGTAATATGTGTAGATTACTTAGGATAGCCCCAAAAAAAGTCAGAATTACTTATTTCCACTGGGATCCTTGCTGTGCAATTGGCTTGTTGTGAGTTTATGTTTGGGTTGTTTAGTAGAATGAGCATTTTCTTCCTGTAATCGTTAGTGTCTTCTGTTGGGAGTGGTGATTCTGGTGTAGGACTGGTGTTGGCAGTGGTGATTCTGGTGTAGGACTGGTGTTGGCAGTGGTGACTCACAGCACCATTCCATAAACCAAACGTGGCGTAATCAAAAGCTTCTTGTACGTGCCCTTCATATCTGTAGTAGTGAATTCCTTGAATAATGCTTTTTCATCAAACAAGAAGTACCCAAACTTCACTATCCTCGTCACTTTATCAGAGGATGAAGACACTGTGCACATAACACCAATAAACATTTTCTCCAACACCGATTTTCAAGTAGCTACCACTGTATCCACTAAAATCAAGGACATCTTCAGTATGGGACACCATCAGTCATAATGAAGTCACTCGTGGCGAATCGCTTCGTCTAGTAAATGTTCATAACTGTACACAAGTGTCTTTTTTCACTGTCTCATTTTTCTTCAGTTTCATATATTGAACTGACCAACAGTTTTCTTTTTAATCATTAATTTTAAGTCATTACTTTCAGATTTACATTTAATGCAGTAAAATAAAAGAGTATAATAATATAGTATAGTATAATTATACAGTACTGAGTTTCTTAGTATTGTAAGCCAGCGGAAGGCTTCGATCGGATGACCAAAAACTCCAGATGTGGATCATCATATGATTAAGACTCGATCGACACCATGCCTAACCCTTCTAGGGTAGGGTAGGTGCCTGAGCCGGAGCTTGTAGCTCACAAGACTGTTATTCCCATTAGCTCCCTTGGGGCGGGGATGGCAGACCAGAGAGGCCTAGCTTGTGGCTAGGCTTGGGGACAATTGGTCCCAAAGATGAGGAGGTATTTGTGCCTCCTCCCATGGGAGACTTAGGTCTCAGACACTCCCTAAAGAGGGAGCCAAGGCCGGGCCACCACTTGGAAAAGGCCCGGGCCGGGAGAATACCGGCGAATCTTTAATAATAATAATAATTAAGACTTGCGTCAGGAAACACTTGTTTCCTGACGAACCTTACTTAACCTAAACATCATAATTCTTCGCAGAATAACTCACCATACAATCGGAAATCCGACTGTTTACAGTGATAGTAAAAACTTGGATAAGAAAATCTCTTATGCATAGTAATAATTTATCATTTAGTCCTTTACATTCTGTAGTTCGGGAATTACAAGGGGAAACTGTATTGAAAAGCATTTCTGAAATTCTGTCCGGTGGTTTCTCTTGCATAATTTAAGTTACAAAGGTGCAACAGACTAGTAGTAAAGGATTTTCCTGATGTGAAACAGATTTTTTAGATAGATTTTGCCACCGAAGTGGCTAGTTTATTGTGCACCCCATATCCATCCTGTGGACGGTAGCGCGAGAGCATGTGGATACACAAAAGGCCTAGGAACTAGGCCCCAAAGGGTTAACAGGAATACATATGGATTTATATCTACATATCTATAGTTCACTTATCTGTTACAAGCAAATTTAGGAAATTTGCTTAGTATATCTGGTATCTTATTTTCATTAATAAGATATCTTGACATGTCACAGGTTATTATACTGTCTGTCTCTGTATTCCTCAATAAGTGGACAATTAAGCACATAGTGTTCAAGAGAGTGACCATATACCTGATCACATAATTTACATTTAGTTTGATCATCATCTGTGTGTCTCCCAAACTGCCAGAAATACTTGTAACCAAGCCTAAGCCTGGCCACTACAACATCAGTCAGTCTGTTCACATTGCAAGTTGCTCCATAAACATACTTATCTACGTTCATGTTATCATAGTGGGTTATAGATCTACTCAGGCTTCTAACTGCATTCCTATAACAATCATCTTCATTATTTACTTCTCTCCTAATATTATTCCTAATGCTAGACACAGTTATACCAAAGTTATATTCTACGTTCTCCTTCTGGATACTCTTCTTGGCTAACATATCAACTTTATCATGAAGGAGTAATCCAATGTGTGATGGGATCCATAGCAATTGTACATTAATTCCTTTGTCCCTAATTTTTGAGTATCTATACCTGGCTTCCCCAATGAGCATGTTGTTGGAGTCATTATATGAGCCAAGAGCCTTCAATGATGACATAGAATCAGTAATGATGATAGAGTCAAGCTCAGTGTCATAGGTTAGCTTTAGCGCCATTAGGATTGCAAACAATTCAGTTTGCAGTGTAGACGCCCAGTTGTTAATTCTTATGCCTAACTCAACAAATTTATTATCGTTCTTAACTAGGGAGGTGGCAACAAGAGCAGATGCAGCCCTGCCAGAAGACTCCTGTTTAGATCCATCAGTGTATATAACTTGTGATAACTTATTACTACCAGCTAGGCGAAAAATTTCTTCTTGAGCAGTTGCTCTAACAAGAGATTTAAGGAAGGGATTACTAGCAATGAGCTTCTTGGGAGGGACTTGTAGGTATGTGATATTAAATGAACACATCTTCCATGGAGGGGTGAAATGCTCTTGTTGCCTACAGTGATACAGTTCATGCAGGTTATAAAACTTAATGCAATTGCACGTTTTCACAATCCATTTAGATCTGTGTGTATTTACCTCTAGACACTTGGTAAGATTCACTGTGACAGTGTGAAACAGAACTGCCTGGAAGCCTATTTTTTGCTCTCCAAGTATTTTTCGCTTTTCATATTTTTTCCGGATTTTTTAAATTTTTGTCCATAGAAGCATATCTATAGTTTAAAAAGTTTACCTCTTTTATTTTTTATGTATGTGTACCTTTGTGATTTGTGTGTTTGTGTATGTTTGTATATGCGTGAATTTATGTTAATGATCTTACCTATATGAAGTGTGCGTATATACCTGTGTGGGTTTTTGTATACGTGTGTATCTTTTTTTTATTTATGCGTACCTGTGTACGTTTGTGTTCGTGTATGTATGGATTTGTGAGTGAACGCATGTGGACTGCGTGTGTGTATGTATGTGTCTGTGAGCGTGGCTGGAGGGGAAGGGGCCAGGGTGATGGAGGAGACGTCAGTGCTACAGCGATCATGATGGTGGGTGGTGGTGTGCACCCTGGCGTGTGGCTGCTGGCTGTGGCCCTGGCAGGAGCCGCCTTCTCGTCAACGCCAGCGGCAGAAATTTCCTATGAGGAACTCCTGGGCGTTTTGACTCACCTGGAGGAGACGCTGCAGGAGTCGGTCGGCTGCGCGGGTAGGATGGAGAAGTTGTGGGAGGCTGTACGCATCCGCACTGCCATGTTGGAGGATATGAAAGCCTCAGTGTTGAAGAGGATGGACCAGATTTCTGAGATCAGGAAAAATGACAGCCAGAGGATAGAAGGTGAGGGGTATTATTGTCAGTAAGGTTATATACATGTGCACCGCAGTGTCTATTTTGGTGCATGCATGCCATCCATGTTCAGTAAAAAAGAAAAGAAAAGGTATTCATTGTCGTTTCATCAAATTCATCACCACAGCTTCACCTCCAAGCTATGACGCCTCATTAACCCACAGCACTGACCACAGCTCTCACCATCACAGCACTGACCACAGCTCTCACCATCACAGCACTGACCACAGCTCTCACCATCACAGCACTGACCACAGCTCTCACCATCACAGCACTGACCACAGCTCTCACCATCACAGCACTGACCACAGCTCTCACCATCACAGCACTGACCACAGCTCTCACCATCACAGTACTGACCACAGCTCTCACCATCACAGCACTGACCACAGCTCTCACCATCACAGCACTGACCACAGCTCTCACCATCACAGTACTGACCACAGCTCTCACCATCACAGCACTGACCACAGCTCTCACCATCACAGCACTGACCACAGCTCTCACCATCACAGCACTGACCACAGCTCTCACCATCACAGCACTGACCACAGCTCTCACCATTCACAATACTCTCAAGCTACGCTACACTATTATTAACTTCTTTGCTACTGTCCAATACCACTTGACCACCTCTCACAGCCTGCCATTGCTTCAGCGTCCCCACACGCCGGGAGCATCATACGTAATGCAGCAGCTGCTCCTTGATGCTGGCGAGGGGCTCTTGATCTAGGTAATTGGATTTGTGCTCCAATTCCCTGAGTTAAGCCTGAATGCCTTCCATCCCTCCCCCTCCACAGGCGCTGTATAATCCTTACCGGTTTAGCGCTCCCCCTGATACTAACACTGAGTGTAGTATATGTTTTCTGCATGGCAGGGAAATGCATTTTACTGTATAAAATAATTAATTGGTACTGATGCCTGCCGTCATTCCCTACCCAGTGTGTGCCGAGACTTTCACCCAAGTGGAAGGCAGTTGCTTCCACCTGTACAATGATCATCTTTGGCAGTGGTGGAGGTCAAGGTTCCACTGCTGGATCTTGGGAGGTGACCTAGCTCAACCAGACGACCTTTACACCCTCAGGAACCTTCTTCAGGACAGAGGTAAGACAACCCACTGATTTCTTATAAAAATCATTAGAGGAATCATTCTTTCAGCTGAAAAGCCGAATAAAAAAAATGCCTTTAGAAAATGTTCTGATTTAATAAGAAGAAAAACTCAGCAAAAACATAATAAACATCAACTGCATTAATTTACAGAAATTGTTTGTGGCATATTTACTCTGCTACTAAATCTGTTTATTACTAAATCTGTTTATTAATATTTATTATCCTACTGATAATCTGCACTAACAACACTTTATATTTGACTGTGGATATTATTACTGCGATTTTGTCTGATGTTATTGCCAATTTTCCACTCTAACGCTGCACTACGTTCACGAAAACTGATATTTATTTTTATAGGCTGTCCAGGGTTACTTTCTTTACTCTCACTACCATTGCCAAAAACCACTAACTGTATGTATAGTTGAGCTTCATTTGTCATGCTTCTCCTACCCATTACTCTCTATCCTGACTCACGAAATCGTAATTACACGACTGCAAACAAATCACAGAACGGGTGAGACACGAACCCATGGTAGGTGAATCCTGCCATGGGGTTGAACTCCACCTGCTAAGTGATTTGAATATTTTTACTACTCCCTATTTCGTCCTACAGCTGGCACGACGTACTGGCTAGGAGCGAGGACAGCTCCAGGTCTGGATTCTCCGGAATGGAGATGGGTGGGTGGGGAGAGGATGGACCCCTCCCACGTTACCATCCTCCCCTCCCTGTCACAGCCGGCAAACGTAAACAACTGCTTGATGCTGGAGACAGTTGGTGACTACCAGCTGCGGGCCGCCACCTGTGACGAGGCGCATGCAGTCACTCTCTGTGAAATTAAAATGTGAACGTTCTATCATTATTTTTTTTTTTTTGCCATAGAGAAAATGCCATTATATTTTGTGAAAGGATACTAAACCCGTGCGCATCATCCAGCACAAAGAGTGGTGGAAGCTCGATCCTCCGTCCCTAATCGTAAAGCTTTTCTGTGCGTGTTACCCATAATTATTTCCACGTAATCAAATGCATTGACTAATATTGCACCTTAGTGCTTTAAACCCAGGCTAACCTAGCTTCACCACAATTTATGTTATTCCTAAATATTTTTTCTAGTCTGTTATGTATTTTATGAAATAAAATCTTCAAAATGATTTAATCTTTTATTAATTTCAGGCATTGTAAATAAGGCACCGTATCGTTCTTCACGTCGTTCCTCACCTCACACGTCACCTCACACGTCACCACACGTCACCTCACGTCACCTCACACGTCACCTGGAGACCACAACACTATAAATAAATTTTGAATTATGTTAACGAAACCGCTATTTTGCTGAGTCTGCCATTTATATTATGGATAGTAATGGCTAGTTTATTGCGTGCAACATCCATACTGTGGATGGTAGCAGTTGTGTTGCAGTACTCATACTCACCGTGATGTGTTGCAGTGCTTAAATTCAGTCATGTGTTGCAATGCTCAAACTTAGTCATGTGTTGCAGTACTCAAATTCTCAGTGATGTGTTGCAATGCTGAAACTCACAGTGATGCAACATAAATAACAAAAAGGCACAATACCGTGACTGGAACGATACACAAATAACCCGCACATAAAAGAGAGAAGCTTACGACGACGTTTCGGTCCAACTTGGACCATTTACAAAGTCACACTAACCAGAAGTGGAGCAGGACGATTATATATAGGCAGGAAGAGGTGGTGGTGGTGGTAGTAGTAGTAGTACAAGAATGGTATATAATACCGACAAGATGAAATTAAGACACATGCGCAACACCCGGGCTGTTGCGCATGTGTCTTAATTTCATCTTGTCGGTATTATATACCATTCTTGTACTACTACTACTACCACCACCACCTCTTCCTGCCTATATATAGTCGTCCTGCTCCACTTCTGGTTAGTGTGACTTTGTAAATGGTTCAAGTCGGACCGAAACGTCGTCGTAAGCTTCTCTCTTTTATGTGCGGGTTATTTGTGTATGCAACATAAATCTGAAACCCATCCTGTGCAATGGAGCATGAAGGGGCAACCCATCATTTACGATGGGGGTGTAAAAGTCAAAGCATTCAGTGTTATATATTTGTTATTGTAATAACGTTGGTAGAATTACCGACGTGTGTCCTTATACCTTACATAAGAAATCTTAGTTTTTATTTTAACCCAGTGGTTCCCAAACTTTTTTTCAGGCTGCCGCCACCTTGGCTCCCAGGCCGTCCCTCCCCCCCCTACTCCCCCTCATCCCAACACACACACACTGCTCGATGCTGGAATTAGGTTTACTGCAAATTCAAAACAACACCTAACCTAATACAAGTGTATTTATTTCACAAATAAAAATTAGCGTAGTAAACCAATTTATTTAACAATATGAAATGGTAAATTTACATCTTATTTGTAACAAGCATCAGGCTTGAAAACATTAAGAAGATTGAGACACTTATGCAGCATATGGGAATCTTAATTAAGATTCCCATATGCTGCATAAGTGTCTCAATCTTCAACATGTCGGTTTTTCAAACCATTCATCACAAACATTAAGAAGTCTTAGATCCCGCCTTCAGTAATTTTCAGTCTGTTTCTTTGTTTGGAAAGAAGCTTGGCGACTGCACTTAAGCCTCGCTACATACCTAGAGCTTTGGTCCTTGCAGACGTGATAATCCGATCATCACCAGTACCCCTGCGTCGTCTGCTATCTGATCTCGCTCTCTGATCTTCGTGTATAACTCTATGTTAATTTTATTCTTTGTAAAGCATTTGTGTTACTTAAGTGTTGGTGATTTATATTTTGTCATATAAATTTTGTAAAAAGAACAGTCCCTTGGTTCTGATGACACCGTGCCGCCCCCCTGCCGCCCTCTTTTTCCTCAACGCCCCCCTGGATTGTATGGGCCAGTAGAATTTTTGCAGTGTTCCTCCATTCTTATGTTTAAATACTATTTCTCCAAGGTTGATGGACTAATTACGTCTTCATTTCACTACTACTCCTGCTACCTCTGTACTTGTTAAATTAGACACATGTGCAACTCTTGGGTATCTTTATTGAGGAAACGTTTCGCCACACAGTGGCTTCATCAGTCCATACAAAGGATAAACTAGAAGAACAGGAGGAGAATGAGGTAATCAGTCCCTCAGCCTTGAGTCGATGTGGTCAGTCCATCAATCTTGAATAGAATACAGCATAGGAGCGGAGAAGCAGCTTATAAACCGTATGGCAGGAGAGGTGCAGCAGTCGTAGGTGGTGTCACATTTGTCCAATGTGGAAGTAGGTCGTGCCCAAGGGTTAGGCAAGCGAAGAATTCCCAAGTATTAAGACCCCAAGAAGTTGCAATCCTGTCAGACACTGCAACTTCTTGGGATCTTAAAACTTGGGAATTCTTCGCTTGCCTTACCCTTGGGCGCGCCCTACTTCCACATTGGACAAATGTGACACCACCTACGACTGCTGCACCTCTCCTGCCATACGGTTTATAAGCTGCTTCTCCGCTCCTATGCTGTATTCTATTCAAGATTGATGGACTGACCACATCGACTCAAGGCTGAGGGACTGATTACCTCATTCTCCTCCTGTTCTTCAAGTTTATCCTTTGTAATAATGTTGGTAGAATTACCGACAATATGTAAAGTAAAAGGACACAAGTGCAACTAATGTGACATTTTATTGTGGCAACGTTTCGCTCTCCTGGAGAGCGAAACGTTGCCACAATAAAATGTCACATTAGTTGCACTTGTGTCGTTTTACTTTACACAAGTTTATCCTTTGTATGGACTGATGAAACCACTGTGTGGCGAAACGTTTCCTCAATAAAGATACCCAAGAGTTGCACATGTGTCTAATTTATCAACGTGTCGGTTCTCTGAACCATTCATCTACAAATATACCTAGTTGGACGAATCTTATTGTAGCCAGCTGGCCCAGTGGCTTACGCGCTGGCCTGGAGGTTTACGACTCGTTCTTAGCTATCTTAATTTCGAAACGTTTCGCCTACACAGTAGGCTGAAGTGACAGGCTCCATCCTGTCACTTCATCTCCATATTGTTTCATACCATGGAACAATGCTCTTCTCCAGACTGAGGGACTGACCACCTCAAAACTTTAAGGGTGATGGACTGATTACATCGTCTTCAAGTATCTTCTGCTTCTATCAACTTTTCTGTACTCGACTGAAGAAGCCTACTGTGTAGGCGAAACGTTTCGAAATAAAGATAGCTAACTGTTGCATATGTGTCTTACCTAACAACCTGTCGGTATTTTATACCATTTTAAGGTTTACGACTCACTCACCATGGGTTCTAACTCCACCCGTACCGTGGTTTGTTTGTATTCGTATTATTACGATTTCATGAATCAAGTCTGGTTAAGTTAGATCTTCAGGGTGGCACCTTAAGTCTAATGTGTTTAAATCTGGTTGCATAGTCAAGCCGATATCCATCAAATTTAGCTCATTGAAGTATTTTATTGACTGTTGAGGTCAAGGCTTGGCCTGGGAGTCTGCCTATAAAATGGAGTTATAACAAAATATACTACACAGGTATTACAAAGTTGACACTGATACCGACAATACGTTGAAAATGACACATACGCACAGTTCAAGACATTTATTGAGGAAATGTTTCACAAAATGTGGCCTCTTTATTCCAGTAGAAGCCACTTGTGTGCAACGTTTCCTCAGTACATATCTTGAACTGTGCTTATGTATATTTATCTGCAAACTGTTATTTTAGTGTAAAGTAAAAGGACACAGGTGCAACTAATGTGACATTTTATTGTGGCAACGTTTCGCTCTCCAGGAGCTTTATCAAGCCATTACAAACAATGTAGATGAATGGTTCAGAGAACCTACATGTTGATAAATTACACACATGTGCAACTCTTGGGTATCTTTATTGAGGAAACGTTTCGCCACACAGTGGCTTCATCAGTCCAAACAAAGGAGAATCTTGAAGAACAGGAGGAGAATGAGGTAATCAGTCCCTCAACCTTGAGTCGATGTGGTCAGTCCATCAATCTTGAATAGAATACGGCATGCGTGCGGAGAAAGAGCTTATAAACCGTTGGTAGGAGAGGTGTAGCAGTCATAGGCGGTGCCACATTTGTTCAATGTGGAAGTAGGTCGTGCCCAAGAATTAGGCAAGCGAAGAATTCCCAAGTATTAAGATCCCAAGAAGTTGCAGTGTCTGACAGGTTTGTAGGTGAATGGTTCAGAGAACCATTCTTCGCTTGCCTAATTCTTGGGCACGACCTACTTCCACATTGAACAAATGTGACACCATGTAAAGTAAAAGGACACAAGTGCAACTAATGTGACATTTATTGTGGCAACGTTTCGCTCTCCAGGAGCTTTATCAAGCCATTACAAACAATACATGGACACAGAGGGTATATAAAGGCTCAGAGTGAGGTGTAATACTAGTGAGGTACCATTTCGATGTTCACTAGTGGTAGTAGTAGTAGTAGTGGTAGTGACAAAATTAATACAATATGGTAGAGCAATTTCCTTCTTTTTTCATCAAAGACTGCAAGAAAAGAGCTCTTCAGATCATAAATTCTCCACGCATCAACACCACTCCCAGGAAAGTTATAATTCTTCCCAACAGTCAGGTTGCACTGAACGTCTCAAAAGTACTTTCACAAGCTAACACCAGAGTCGCCATCGCTTCTAGCACTTCAATAAAGGATATAACCAGGACAAAATCCAAGCACCACGAACCAGTCAATGCAGGAGTTTACACTATACCCTGTGGAGGCTGTGACAAGATTTACGTAGGTGAAACAGCCAGAAACCTCGACACCCGCCTCAATGAACACATTTACGCATGTAGGAACGATAACCTGAACAACGCCTGTGTACAACATCGAAATTCCACCAATCATCTGTTGTTAGGTAAGACACATATGCAACAGTTAGGTATCTTTATTTCGAAACGTTTCGCCTACACAGTAGGCTTCTTCAGTCGAGTACAGAAAAGTTGATAGAAGCAGAAGATACTTGAAGACGATGTAATCAGTCCATCACCCTTAAAGTTTTGAGGTGGTCAGTCCCTCAGTCTGGAGAAGAGCATTGTTCCATGGTATGAAACAATATGGAGATGAAGTGACAGGATGGAGCTTTATATAGCGCCAGGAGGTGAGACGTAGGTCACTAGGAGAGGTAAGAACTCAGATGTTGGGAGGACAGGTCCCTCTCAAATCCAGCCGTTCTCACTAGTAGAGGTTGTCGAAGTTGATTGTAGGTCTACCAAGATACCCTTGTGTTGCAGTGTCAGACAGATTGAACATTAAAATGGTATAAAATACCGACAGGTTGTTAGGTAAGACACATATGCAACAGTTAGGTATCTTTATTTCGAAACGTTTCGCCTACACAGTAGGCTTCTTCAGTCGGTATCTTTATTTCGAAACGTTTCGCCTACACAGTAGGCTTCTTCAGTCGAGTACAGAAAAGTTGATAGAAGCAGAAGATACTTGAAGACGATGTAATCAGTCCATCACCCTTAAAGTTTTGAGGTGGTCAGTCCCTCAGTCTGGAGAAGAGCATTGTTCCATGGTATGAAACAATATGGAGATGAAGTGACAGGATGGAGCCTTATATAGCGCCAGGAGGTGAGACGTAGGTCACTAGGAGAGGTAAGAACTCAGATGTTGGGAGGACAGGTCCCTCTCAAATCCAGCCGTTCTCACTAGTAGAGGTTGTCGAAGTTGATTGTAGGTCTGTACCATGATACCCTTGTGTTGCAGTGTCAGACAGATTGAACATTAAAATGGTATAAAATACCGACAGGTTGTTAGGTAAGACACATATGCAACAGTTAGGTATCTTTATTTCGAAACGTTTCGCCTACACAGTAGGCTTCTTCAGTCGAGTACAGAAAAGTTGATAGAAGCAGAAGATACTTGAAGACGATGTAATCAGTCCATCACCCTTAAAGTTTTGAGGTGGTCAGTCCCTCAGTCTGGAGAAGAGCATTGTTCCATGGTATGAAACAATATGGAGATGAAGTGACAGGATGGAGCCTTATATAGCGCCAGGAGGTGAGACGTAGGTCACTAGGAGAGGTAAGAACTCAGATGTTGGGAGGACAGGCCCCTCTCAAATCCAGCCGTTCTCACTAGTAGAGGTTGTCGAAGTTGATTGTAGGTCTGTACCAAGATACTGAGGGACTGACCACCTCAAAACTTTAAGGGTGATGGACTGATTACATCGTCTTCAAGTATCTTCTGCTTCTATCAACTTTTCTGTACTCGACTGAAGAAGCCTACTGTGTAGGTGAAACGTTTCGAAATAAAGATACCTAACTGTTGCATATGTGTCTTACCTAACAACCTGTCGGTATTTTATACCATTTTAATGTTCAATCTGTCTGACACTGCAACACAAGGGTATCTTGGTACAGACCTACAATCAACTTCGACAACCTCTACTAGTGAGAACGGCTGGATTTGAGAGGGACCTGTCCTCCCAACATCTGAGTTCTTACCTCTCCTAGTGACCTACGTCTCACCTCCTGGCGCTATATAAGGCTCCATCCTGTCACTTCATCTCCATATTGTTTCATACCATGGAACAATGCTCTTCTCCAGACTGAGGGACTGACCACCTCAAAACTTTAAGGGTGATGGACTGATTACATCGTCTTCAAGTATCTTCTGCTTCTATCAACTTTTCTGTACTCGACTGAAGAAGCCTACTGTGTAGGCGAAACGTTTCGAAATAAAGATACCTAACTGTTGCATATGTGTCTTACCTAACAACCTGTCGGTATTTTATACCATTTTAATGTTCACCAATCATCTCATGAAATTCAGAGACGCCCAATTAATGATCAAAGAAACTAATTTCCGCAGACGCAAGTGCCTCGAATCAGCACTGATCGCTGTTTCGAATACAATTAAACAAAACAACGGGAGCTTCACCATCTCCGAAGTCTTAGCAAGAATCCTCCTGAGAACAGTAAACCCTGCCATCACATAGTCTCTCCTGTTATACTACACAAAGCACAGAGAGTGAACACTGAAACAAGCTGCCTCATTCCAGTCTATATTTGTCCAACCTATTTTTATGTTACCCAAGTAATAGCTTTTATATCCTTTTACTCATGTACGAATTAATTGCTCTACCATATTGTATTACTTTTGTCACTACCACTACTACTACTACCACTAGTGAACATCGAAATGGTACCTCACTAGTATTACACCTCACTCTGAGCCTTTATATACCCACTGTGTCCATGTATTGTTTGTAATGGCTTGATAAAGCTCCTGGAGAGCGAAACGTTGCCACAATAAATGTCACATTAGTTGCACTTGTGTCCTTTTACTTTACATATTGTCGGTAATTCTACCAACTTTATTACAAATGTGACACCGCCTATGACTGCTGCACCTCTCCTACCAACGGTTTATAAGCTCCTTCTCCGCACGTATGCCGTATTCTATTCAAGATTGATGGACTGACCACATCGACTCAAGGTTGAGGGACTGATTACCTCATTCTCCTCCTGTTCTTCAAGTTTCTCCTGTGTATGGACTGATGAAGCCACTGTGTGGCGAAACGTTTCCTCAATAAAGATACCCAAGAGTTGCACATGTGTCTAATTTATCAACATGTCGGTTCTCTGAACCATTCATCTACAAAGGAACGATAACTTGAACAACGTCTGTGTACAACACCGAAATTCCACCAATCATCTCATGAAATTCAGAGACGCCCAATTAGTGATCAAAGAAACTAATTTCCGCAGACGCAAGTGCCTCGAATCAGCACTGATCGCTGTTTCGAATACAATTAAACAAAACGACAGCTTCACCATCTCCTCAGTCTTAGCAAGAATCCTCCTGAAAACAGTAAACCTTGCCATCACATAGTCTCTCCTGTTATACTACACAAAGCACATTACAGAGAGTGAACACTGAAACAAGCTGCCTCTTTCCAGTCTATATTTGTCCAACCTATTTTTATGTTACCCAAGTAATAACTTTTACTCATGTACGAATTAATTGCTCTACCATATTGTATTACTTTTGTCACTACTACTACTACTACTACTACTACTACTACTACTACTACTACTACCACTAGTGAACATCGAAATGGTACCTCACTAGTATTGCACCTCACTCTGAGCCTTTATATACCCTCTGGAGAGCGAAACGTTGCCACAATAAAATGTCACATTAGTTGCACCTGTGTCCTTTTCCTTTACATATTGTCGGTAATTCTACCAACTTTGTTATTTTAGTGTTGATATATCCAGTGGTGTGACGTGTGATGCCAACAACTAAGCAAATTACGTAACTTGAGATTTATGGACACAAAGTTAAGTAAGGTACTGTTTAGTGCACTAAATGTTGAGATGAGGGCACCTCCCTATGGGATATCCAGTTTTAAGCCTTTAGTTACTTTTTTTTTTTTTTTTTTTTCGCCGGTATTCTCCCGGCCCGGGTCTTTTCCAAGTAGTGGTGACCCGGCCTTGGCTCCCTATCTGGGGAGTGTCTCGAGACTTAAGTCTCCCATGGGAGGAGGTACAAGTACCGCCTCATCTTTGGGACCAAGTGTCCCCAGGCCTAGCCACATTCCCCGCCCTCACGGGGCTCGTAGGGAGAAGCTAGGCCTGTGGTCTGCCATCTACCCCGCCTCAAAGGGGCTCGTGGGGATGGCAGTCTTATAGTTACGCTGTTGGGAAGGTTACCTTTGATACAACGGAGATGATACATGTGGTAACTGTATAAGACGAGAGAGACATATAGATGTGGTAGTTGTATATGACGAATATATGTGTAAAAGTATTGTTGCATAAGTTGCATTAGGTGGTAATGCAATGATGTACACTCCTGTCATGCAGCTGGCGGTCGCTCGAGGACGGAGATCTTTGTTAACGACCAGCTTCCTCCTACCTACGTGTCGCTGTCATGGTGGAGTTAGTGGCCCTACCCCGGCTCTCCAACCTTCCCCACCACCACCATTGCCCTCTTAACACTTAATCACACCAATGAAAGGCAATTACGGCACTCTATGGTACTAAAACAGGAAGCTTGGTATCTCAGCTGGTTTTAGCTGACGAGATGGGTGAAAGAGCACGTACTAGAGAACGGAATGGGTTTGGTTTGGCAGAAACAAGTTTGGATTGACAGAAGTGAGTTTGGTGAAGCAGGGGGTTTAGTGGATCAAGAGTGGTTCTGATAAGAGGGAGATTGGTCGATGGGGAATATACAGGACTTGATGAAGAGGGGAAAAAAGATAGTGTTTGACGGGGAACAGGAAAAAGATCTGATGAGGAGGAAAGGGAAATAATGTTTGATCGGAAGAAAGCAAGCGTTTGATGTGGAGGAAAGAAAAATAAAGTTATATGGGACAGAAAAAATATAAAGGAAAAATGCAAACTGGTGAGAAGGATGATGCGAGTAGAAGGGCTAATGAGGCATTGACTGTGGAAATTGTGATGAATGTTGTAGTCAGTGTACAACAGGTGGAGTGTGAATGTTAAGAGAGAGACTGAGAATTGAAGTACGTGGCCAGAAGTTGATCTGTTGTAGCGGCTGAGGGAAGCAAGGACCACGACAATGGACCTAATTTCTCTTATCTTTCTTTCATATTGAACAAAGGAATGAGCTAAAGAAAGTTTTATCAGGTGAGGCGCTCATTTCCCGCACAATGTAAGTACAGTATCACTGGTGGGTCCAGCTTATCACAGTGAGCGCTGCTCTACCACCTTACATTACTGGCAGTCACGCCGTACAGAGTACATTAGGTCAGATAAATTATTACACTACGTAAAATTGGCAGGGGTCGCTGCGTATGGAAGAGGTGGTGATGTTAAATATATTATGAAGATATTCACAATATTGACCAGAGATATGTACATGTTTGTGAGAGGGGTATGTGACAGCCTTGTGAAGTTGGGCATGTCACGGTGGGGTAAGGTGTTTGACGGTACTGTAATGAAAGTCGTGAGTACAAAGACAAGCCTGCGACAATTATCTACACTCTTTGCACGGGGTTCTACACATCTATGAAAATACTGTTACTGATGCAATATGTTTTATTTTATGTTTGTGTGTGAGGAATGAGGGGGGGGGAGAAGAAGAGACGTAGGAGGGGTAGGACGGAGGTAGCCAGTGCTACAGTGACCACGATGGCGTGTGGGTGTCCCTCTGCTTCTCTCAGAGTCCTGCTGGGTGCAACTATATGGGCGATGGGCGTGGGAGGTGCGAGCGTGGAAAGCCAGATGGGCGTGGGAGGTGCGAGCGTGGAAAGCCAGATGGGCGTGGGAGGTGCGAGCGTGGAAAGCCAGATGGGCGTGGCAGGTGCACTCGTCAAGGAACACCGCACGACATCGAAGGAACAAGAGTATTTGGAAGAGGAATATCACGTAGACGAATCAAGAACTGCAGCCGGAGTAGACCTTGAGAATAATGACCTCCTGGCCTCCCTGTTGAGGATGCAGAAGGTGCTGAGTGGCATCGAGGGCTGCGACACCAGGCTTCAGCACCTCTGGAGGGACGTCACAGCCCAGAGGCTGACGCTGGAGAGGTTGCAGGAGGAGGTGTTTCTGCAAATGGACAGGCACGCCAAGATACAATTTGAGCACCCTACTAGACAGAGTGAGTACCCTACCAGAGAGTGTGAGTACCCTGCCAGAGAGTGTGAGTACCCTGCCAGAGAGTGTGAGTACCCTACCAGAGAGTGTGAGTACCCTACCAGAGAGTGCGAGTACCCTACCAGAGAGTGTGAGTGCCCTACCAGAGAGTGTGAGTACCCTACCAGAGAGTGTGAGCTTGAAAACCCGACCAGTAAGGGAGTAAACTCTTCGTCTTGCAGATTCTATTTTAGAGCACTTCATGGTTCATAAAAGATTCAGAGGTTCATAAGAGGATCAGTATACTTATACACTGTGGCTCTCAGTACAATAGTTAGTTTCAGTCAGGGTATTGTGACCCGCGTGTTATCTGTGACCTGTTCCAGTCACTGTATATTGGCTTTATCGTTAGTTGTAAACTTTTCCACTCATTGTGCTGTAACTTGAAGTTTAGACTAGGCACTTTTCTTCTAAATTAATGCTTTTTAGCTAAAAATTGTCTCAGTTCTAGCGTAAACAAAAACAAATTACTGAAAAAACACGAAAAACAAAAAAGAAAGTGAAACAGCTGTGAATTATGCCAGTCAGGGTATTGTGACTTTTGCATTGCATAACAGTGTTCCTTCGTCCTCAGAGTGTCCGGAACCCTTCCAAGTGGGCGGCGGAGGGTGCTTCTACCACCCACAGAGGGTGAAGAAGACGTGGGCAGCAGCTAGGTACTCCTGTGGCAAGCTGGGGGCTGATCTGGCTCACCCTGCCAACATTACCAGCTTCAGGGACTACATCACGACGGTGGTGTCCGGAGGTGAGTCAAGTGCTGGTGGTATTGGTGATGGTGGTGGTACTGGTCATGGTGGTGGCACTGGTGGCGGTGGTGAGTCTGGTGATGGTACTGGTGACGGTGGTGAGTCTGGTGATGGTACTGGTGATGATGGTGAGTCTGGTGGTGGTACTGGTGATGATGGTGAGTCTAGTGGTGGTACTGGTGATGGTGGTGGGGTGGTGTGGTGGTGGTACTGGTGATGGTACTGGTGATGGTACTGGTGATGGTGATGGTACTGGTGATGGTGATGGTACTGGTGATGGTACTGGTGATGGTACTGGTGGTGGTACTGGTGATGGTGGTATGGTGGTGGTGGTACTGGTGATGGTGGTGGTACTGGTGATGGTGGTGGTACCGATGATGGTGATGGTACTAGTGATGGTGGTATGGTGTTGGTGGTACTGGTGATGGTGGTGGTACTGGTGGTGATGGTACTGGTGATGGTGGTGGTACTAGTGATGGTGGTATGGTGTTTGTGGTACTGGTGATGGTGGTTTTACTGGTGATGGTGGTTTTACTGGTGATGGTGGTGGTACTGGTGATGGTGGTGGTACTGGTGATGGTGCTGGTAATGGTGGTGGTACTAGTGACGGTGGTATGGTATTGGTGGTACTGGTGATGGTTGTGGTACTGGTGATGGTACTGATGATGGCGATGGTACTAGTGATGGTGGTATGGTGTTGGTGGTACTGGTGATGGTGGTGGTACTGGTGGTGATAGTACTGGTGATGGTGGTGGTACTAGTGATGGTGGTATGGTGTTTGTGGTACTGGTGATGGTGGTTTTACTGGTGATGGTGGTGGTACTGGTGTGGTTGGTGGTACTGGGTGATGGTGGTAGTATGGTGATGGTGGTGGTACTGGTGACGGTGGTATGGTGTTGGTGGTACTGGTGATGTTGGTGGTACTAGTGATGGTACTGGTGATGGTGGTGGTACTGCTAATGGTACCGGTGATGGTGGTGGTACTGGTGATGGTGGTATGGTGTTGGTGGTACTGGTGATGGTGGTTTTACTGGTGATGGTGGTGGTACTGGTGATGGTGGTATGGTGTTGGTGGTACAGGTGATGGTGGTGGTACTAGTGATGGTGGTGGTACTGGTGATGGTGGTGGTACTGGTGATGGTGGTGGTGATGGTGGTGGTACTGGTGATGGTACTGGTGCTGGTGATGGTGGTGGTACTGGTGATGGTTCTAGTGATGGTGGTGGTACTGGTGATGGTGGTGGTGGCGTGGTGGTGGTACTGGCGATGGTGGTGGTGATGGTGGTGATACTGGTGATGGTGGTGATGGTGGTGGTGGTACTGGTGCCGTTGGTGATAATGGAGATGTTGGTGAGTATAGTGGTGGTACTGGTGATGATGAAGAGTCTGGTGATGGTGGTGAGTCTGGTGGTGATACTGGTGATAGTGATAAATTAGACACATGTGCAACTCTTGGGTATCTTTATTGAGGAAACGTTTCGCCACACAGTGGCTTCATCAGTCCATACGTAGGAGAAACTTGAAGAACAGAACGAGAATGAGGTAATCAGTCCCTCAACCTTGAGTCGATGTGTTCAGTCCATCAATCTTGAATACAATACGGCATATGAGCGGAGAAGCAGCTTATAAACCGTATGGCAGGAGATGCGCAGCAGTCATAGGTGGTGTCACATTTGTTCAATGTGGAAGTAGGTCGTGCCCAAGAAATAGGCAAGCGAAGAATTCCTAAGTATTAAGATCCCAAGAAGTTGAATCAAGCATGGATTCAAGCTATTTCAGTCTCCTGTATGTTCTGACTTCTCAAGCGATTTTTATAACAACTTCTTGGGATCTTAATACTTAGGAATTCTTCGCTTGCCTATTTCTTGGGCACGACCTACTTCCACATTGAACAAATGTGACACCACCTATGACTGCTGCACCTCTCCTGCCATACGGTTTATAAGCTGCTTCTCCGCTCATATGCCGTATTCTATTCAAGATTGATGGACTGAACACATCGACTCAAGGTTGAGGGACTGATTACCTCATTCTCCTCCTGTTCTTCAAGTTTCTCCTACGTATGGACTGATGAAGCCACTGTGTGGCGAAACGTTTCCTCAATAAAGATACCCAAGAGTTGCACATGTGTCTAATTTATCAACATGTCGGTTCTCTGAACCATTCATCTACAAAACTGGTGATAGTGTTGAGTCATGTGGTGGTACTGGTGATGGTTGTGAGTCTGGTGATGGTACTGGTGATGGTGGTGAGTCTGGTTGGGGTACTGGTGATGGTGGTGAGTTTAGGGGTGCTACCGGTGATCGTGGTGAGTCTGGTGGTGGTACTGGTGATGGTGGCGAGTCTGGTGGTGGTACTGGTGATGGTGGTGAGTCTGGTGGTGGTACTGGTGATGGTGGCGAGTCTGGTGGTGGTACTGGTGATGGTGGCGAGTCTGGTGGTGGTACTGGTGGTGGTGGAGAGTCTGGTGGTGGTACTGGTGATGGTGGTGAGTCTGGTGGTGGTACCGGTGATGGTGGTGAGTCTGGTAGTGGTACTGGTGATGGTGGTTCTTCTGGTGGTAATACTGGTGATGGTGGTGAGTCTGGTGGTGGTACTGGTGATGGTGGTTCTTCTGGTGGTAATACTGGTGATGGTGGTGAGTCTGGTGGTGCTACTGGTAATGTTGGTGATCATTACAACAATGGTAAACAGTACTGCCAGATTTATAAATAAGACACGCGCAACACCTGATATCTTATTGACGAGAAGTTTTCCCTTCACAGCAGTTTTTTTCAGTCTAATATAGAGGAAATCCTTCTTCCTCCTCCCTATCTTACCAAACCTCTGGTCATAAATCGCCAATCCCCACATTCACACACACACATACACACGTACAAGAGACACTGGAAAAAGTAGAGAGGTGCTTGTGAGGTAGTCAGTCCCTTGGCATTTAATGAAGGGTCAGAGACTGTTTTCACTAGCGTAAATGGTTAGAATTATAACCTCAGTTTTTAAAAGGGTGGATCGATAAGCCAGTGGAAGGCCTCAGTTAGATGACCAAAAGCTCTTACGGTGGGTCATCATATGACTAAGACCAGCGTCAGGAAACACTTGTCCTCTTTCCTGACAAATCTTACATAACGTATCCTGTTTGCCAATATACAAGGTGATTCTGTATTAGATACAAAGAAAGCCTGCTACGCTGGCGAAACGTATCGTCATTTAAGATGCCCAGGCGTTGCACTTGTGTCTTTTTCATCAACCTATCGGTACTGTGTAATATTTATATATTGATATTTGTCTGCACAGAAACTTTGCACAGTATCTTTGTACAGAAGATATCTTCTGTAGCTATATTGCTAACCTCTGGCCCAACTTTCCTGCATGACCTACGTCCACTAGTGAGTCCCACCCACCTGTGGCGATGTCCTCAACTGCTGCACCTCTCCGTTGGCACCATTGTATAAGTCTCCATCTTCATGCCTCTGCTGCCCAGTGATCAAAGGACAGAACACCTCAGAATTATCTATCCTCTTCTTCCACTGTCTCCAGATTAAAAAAAAAAACCTCTACTGCAGCGAAACGTCCCCATAAATATCCAAGTGTTGTATAAGTGTCTGGAGGCGGTGGGTTTAAAATGTATTCTGAAAGTTTGATAGTCGTAAAACGATGGTATTTTTTTCCTGTTTCTAAGGTGGACTGCACTACATGCTCGGGACTAGAGTAATAATAAAGAGTTTCACGCTTCTCGAGTTGGAAGATTTTTTTCTTCCTTGCGTTAGGACTCTTTAACCTACTTCTATATAATAAAATATTATAAGGACCCCAGCGGAAATAAGTATCACTACGCCTGCCTTTCTTGGATTATCCTGGTGGATAATTTATACACATGTTACTATGTACAATAACTGAAGTCACCTAAATTTGTGTAACTGTACTTATGTGTACCTGTACTTAAATAAGCGTACTTATTTACTTAAGCTGGAGTTTAGTCTTCCTGGGAGTGAGAGCTGATAAAAAGTACCTATTTTTTTCCAGACTTTTTTTTTATTATTTCCCTGCTGGCCAAAGCAGAAACAAAAATTCCTATCAAGCTGGGATTTATTTCTGAAAGATAGAAGTGATTTAAAAAAATCCACTGTTTACATTAGTGTTCCTTCTTCCTGGGGAAGGGGGGAGGATACTGTAACTGATGTAAAAAAGAGTTATCTCCTCTTTACAGACTGGGATTTCTTCTTCCTGGTAGCAATAACTGATATAAAACGAGTTTTCTCCTCTTCCCAGACAGGGGTTTCTTCCTCCTGGTAGCAATAACTGATATAAAACTAGTTTTCTCCTCTTCCCAGACTGGGGTTTCTTCTTCCTGGGAGCTAGAGCTGACCCCAAACAGGAGTTCCCCGTGTATCGGTGGCTGGATGGCCGGATATTCGGTGGGGAAGGTAGAAAGTCGTCAGAGTCCCTCACAGTGGACGGCGACTTCTGCGTGGTGATGCTGCCTCACAGTTGGCAGGAGTTCGAACACAAACACTGTGAAACTTCCAAGGGATGGTACGTCTGTGAGGTTAAAGTGAAGAACCTGCCCCAGTAACTAGATGGCCGAAGACAATCAACTTATTTGTAATTAGTTGTTTGTAATCACCTGCGTGTAGTTACATGTTAGGAATAATGACATGTTTGCTATTACCTGTTTATAGTTACAATAGTTACTGGAACAGAGGTATGCTCGTTCTGTTCCGTTTTTAGTATTTTAATCTATGGCAGAGTTTTCTAAAATGTGTGAACAACAAATGTGAAGGGCTGTTATGATGTTGTATGTGTTGTTACTGTGATGTTGTATGTGTTGTTACTATGATGTTGTATGTGTTGTTACTATGATGTTGTATGTGTGTTGTTACTATGATGTTGTATGTGTTGTTACTATGATGTTGTATGTGTTGTTACTGTGATGTTGTATGTGTTGTTACTATGATGTTGTATGTGTTGTTACTATGATGTTGTATGTGTTGTTACTATGATGTTGTATGTGTTGTTACTATGATGTTGTATGTGTTGTTACTATGATGTTGTATGTGTTGTTACTATGATGTTGTATGTGTTGTTACTATGATGTTGTATGTGTTGTTACTATGATGTTGTATGTGTTGTTACTATGATGTTGTATGTGTTGTTACTATGATGTTGTATGTGTTGTTACTATGATGTTGTATGTGTTGTTACTGTGATGTTGTATGTGTTGTTACTATGATGTTGTATGTGTTGTTACTGTGATGTTGTATGTGTTGTTACTGTGATGTTGTATGTGTTGTTACTGTGATGTTGTATGTGTTGTTACTGTGATGTTGTATGTGTTGTTACTATGATGTTGTATGTGTTGTTACTATGATGTTGTATGTGTTGTTACTGTGATGTTGTATGTGTTGTTACTGTGATGTTGTATGTGTTGTTACTGTGATGTTGTATGTGTTGTTACTATGATGTTGTATGTGTTGTTACTATGATGTTGTATGTGTTACTACCATGATATTATATAAAATGCTACCATGATGTAAGATATTCAAATAAAGTACTAAGCAGGCACTGAAATACATTAGTCCAACTTGATTCTGTGTAGCCTGTGAGAAGAACTGTCTTCCGGAGACACTGGTACGGCTAGTGGAGTTATGTGGAGTGTGAGGAGGCGTACGACAAACTCTTCTGTCAGGGTAGTGTGATAAGCTTAATGATTGTTAAGTACTAATGATCATTAAGATTTAATGACTATTAGGTGATGATAATCATAAAGATTTAGTGATTATCAAGTACATGAAGGTGTTTAAGGCCACTTCATATCAAGGCCACTTCAGGAGCTGGTGTAG